TGTAATTGGCTGGATTTGAACTGTCTTTAAATTCTGTACTGTATACACGGAGGGAGGGGGAGGCTTAATGGGTATAAAAAGCCAAAGCTAGGAGTAGAGCGTAGTGACAGATTTGTGTTTGGCGAAGTAGACTGGTGTGTATCAGTCTCTCTCATCTCCCCCCACAACCCGTGTTCCCTCGGAAATAGTTTTACCTAGCATTACCTAGCATTTTTCACATGGTGGAGAATTAAAAATGGAAGACTAGGAGAAAAAGAGATTGTAAAAGATGCTATTAAGTTGCAACCTAATTTTAAAGATTGTGATGTAAAGAATGGTATTCTAGGAAAATCAGTACTGTCATTCAAAATGAAAGTTATTGAATCTTCACTTGCAAGATGACAACAGCCCCAAACTTATTTTCTGGATTACATTTGTTTCATTAATTTTGCCCTTGATTATATATTGCAGTTGTTTTTTCATCTACCAAGGGTGTCAAACTGGTGGCCTGCAGGCCAGGTGTGTCATGCACTGGCCATGCACACCCCAGCTTTGCAAAGGCAAAAAATGTTGCGATACATGATATGTCACGTGATGCGATTGAGTTTGACACCCGTGATTTAATCTAGTATAGAGAATGTATGAGCTTTCAGGCCATTCCGTGGGATTTAGGAAATCAGGACTTTGCAATGGGACAGGGCAAGGATGTTGATTGTAAATACAGCAATGCATTTTCAAATTTGAAAATTATTTTAACAATTCAGTGGTTATATCAACAGCAGAGGGCTGTGGTAGTTATGAAAAGGACCCCAGATTCAGTATCTTGACAATTGGAATAACACTTAGCATCATTTTTTGAGTTTAGAACGACCACACAGCCATTCTCTCAAGCCAGTCCTAATATATAGCTTGTCTTTTGATTGACACACTGGCAGATATAAGTAGACTATAGCATATTTCCACTGCATAATCGAATAGTGTTTTATAGTCTGTTAATAGGAATGTGTTCACACACTCCTATTATCTTTACTTACATATATTGTGGATCTGCAAATCTTTCTAGAAGCCTCTCCTTGCTTCAGATCCAGGCTTTTCTCCAGAACAAGACGGGTCCGTCAATTCCTGTTGCAATCAATGGATCAACACTTGATCTGAAAAAAAGATCCTGCACTTTCAGGAAACTGTAATACTAGGAAAAAACCTTTTGGGAGATCTGTCATAATTTTGGTCACTAAGCAACCCGCTATAAGTTGACTACCTGTAGTTGCATAATTGTCTTTGCTATCTTAACTTATTCAACCCCTCATTGTGGATAGTTTTTGATATGTTTATTGGTTTGTTTTAATTGGAATGTTTAATTATACCTTCCATGCGTATTTTCAGAGGTCCCAACTTTTTGGTGCAGATCAAACAAATGGAAATTACACCAGTTGAGAAGGAAGCCACCAGCAATACTTTATAAGGACCAATCAAACTTGGGCAAAAAAATTTGTCGGTCATAAGTGTGAAAAAGTTGTCACTTTTTTCAATACCTGTTGTAACTTTGAATGGTCCCTAAATGAACTATTGTAAGTCAAGGACTACCTGTACCATGTTCGTTGCGCTGAGTTTATTAAAAAAAATTTTTTTAAATAAAGGCAGAATGTAAAGAAATAAGGCACAATTCTTTAAATTAAGCCAGCACGACCACAAAATAGGGACACTTTCAGCTGGTTACAAAACCTTCATTTAACACATGGCAGAGAACATGGATAAAAAAATTATACAGGAGCACATAATACTACAGTGCGCTACGATGGAAATATGTGGTCAATTTTGTAATGCTTGAGGAATGTAAGAAATTATACAGAAGCTGTAGATTAGTTTTAAAATTAAGTTGATTCATAATAGAATAAAACTCCCCTCAACGGCGCTTGGTTGGTCTACAAGGAGAGAATGAAAAGGGCTGGTACCCCAAAGGAATCCCAGACCCAAATAAGGCCCCGTTTCCACGTGTGCTGGACCATCATCCCCAATCCTATTTGGGCTGCTTGCGGAGTACCATATATAAGAACTATAAAAAGTGACTTTCAACCGGTTCGATTTTAACTTAATTCGGCAAACCTCGCCTTCTGGGACTGACGGAGGAATTTAATCTTACACACGCCGAACTGCCCTGGGAAGACACACAAACCCCCGTGTCTTTTTTTTAAAAAAAATAAATCCCCGCCGGTATTTCCCTTATAAACACCCCACCCTCAGCATCCTCTCCCTCACGGACGAGCCCCGGCCGCCTTGCCCTCGCTTCGCTTTCGCGCCTTTCCTTCCATCCTCCCAAAATGGCGGCGCTTCTCTCCTTTTTTTTCCCGCCCAAAAGAGTTGAAGGAGGAGAGAGAGAAAAAAAACACCAAAAAAAAAAAAAGGTCGCCAGCGAGCCCCGCCCCTTTTGCCCCCCCCTCGGCCGCCCGGCGCGTGGGCGTCCGCGGGCGGAGGAAGGGAGGCGGGCGGAGCCTGCGCGCTGTCGCTCTCTTCGGCCAACCAGCCCGAAGAGAAGAACGATGACGTCGAAGGGGGAAAAAAAAAAGAGAGAGAGAGAGGGAGGGGCCAGCGCGAGGCGACGGGTAAAGCCAGTCGCTGGGTTTGGCTCGCTCACTCCGCCCCGCGCGCTCTCGCCTTTCGCCTCCCCCTCTGCTCCGCCTCCTCAGAAAGGGGCGGTCCCGCTTCGGATCCCTCCCTCTGTTTCTTTTGGGGGGGGAAGACGCCAAACTTCGCCCCGCCCCCTTCAGGTGCAGATGCAACCGCCCCGCCCCTCAAACAGCTCCGTTTCCTTCCCCCGCCCCGCGTCTCTTCAGGGCCCCCCCCCCCCGGGTGGGAGCAGCCCTCTCTGCCTTCCCCCCTCCCGGCGTGCAACAACGTCCCCATTTCCCAGCAGGAAAGAGGCTTTGTAGTCCTTCCAAGCCACCCCCCCTCTTCTTTTTCACCTTCCTGTCGGGGGGGGGTCCCCCTCGAGGAGCAAACAAGAGGGCTCCCTCTGGGCCTGTGGTAAGAGGCCTCCCGCCCCCACCACCACGCGCCCCCCCTCCTCAAGCTGGGCTGGGTGCAGCAAAGGCTCCCCCCCCCCCAGGAAAAGGGGGCCTGCAGCCATTGCACAGCCTGGACTTTGCTGGGGGGCCCTGCAAATTCAGAGGAGGGGGTGCTTTGGGCTTCTGAGGGGGGGGAGTGGGAAGTGCCCCCCCCAAAAAAAAAGCCTGTTGTGAGGTTGCCAAGTTGGGGAAAAGAGTGAAAAATGTGTTTGAACTGGCCTGGAAGGGAAGGAAAACCTTTTAGGGGGGAAAAAAATTAACTTTTTAAAGTTAGAAGCCAAACTTGAAATGGGGCTCCATAAAAACCTAGCAGGGCAACTCCTCCCCCCCCCCTCCACTTGATAATCATTTCCTAGTTGGTTCAAAGTTGTCTGAATGAAACGGGAGCAAATGTGGGAAGGGGAAAAAATGGAATATTTTATGGCCAAGAAATAGAATGTGGATGAAATGGAAGATCTTTTCTGTTGGTGGCTGCAGGTCTTCCTTCTAAACCACTCTGGAGAAATTCAAATCATGTGGCTGCATCTTTTAAAATTACTCTTCTGCCACCCCTTTAATTAATATTTTTTTAAAAATCAAATTCTGCAGGTTTTTTTCTTCAATCAGAATTTTTTTATTTGAGGTACAGAATGGCACAATTTCCTTTAAACGATGACTAGTTTTAACCAGAGGTCAGACCAGCAATACTTAAAAAAAAACTATTGTGAAAAATCAATATGATGCAAGTGAATATCGAGCAAATTGAACAACAGATAATTGAAAGTCTTTGGTTGATTAATCTTCCTATTGTTAAAGTGATCTTTTTAAACAAACTTGCACATTAGCAAGTGCATGATTTTGCACAGGCATATTGACTGAGTTATGACACTTAGCAAACCAACACAATGCAAAAAAAGTTTATTTGCATTAACATTACTTGAAAATAGTGTTTTGACTATTATTTTTATTGTCAGCCATGTAATTACATAAAGTTAAAAAAATCCCCTAAAAGTCTGATTGCTATAAAGTTTTTTCCCTTTTTATCTTGACTATCTAATGGATTCCTCATTCCCTCCTCCTTGTTCAAAACTACCCCATTCCTGTTTTCCGAGTGGTAAATGATTGTATAACAATTAAATGACAAGCAAGTGTGTTTTATAGATGATGCATCTTATGAACATAGGTTTTTTTTTAAAGCTAGCATACATATGCTTCAAATAACTAATTTGATTAGAACTTCAGATTAAATACTGAATTTACTTCTGAGTGAATGTGAGTTAAAATTCCTTTTACTCTTTTTGTTCGAAGGAGACTCCTTTTCCAGGATTTTCCCAAAAGGTATGTTATGGTCTAAAATACAGATAAGTGAAATTTTGCTACTTGTTTTCACTGTTGATACAAGACAAAAATAAGTGCTGATGATTTTAGCTTTATTGGCAGTGAATGGTATCTCTGAGCAAATGTTTAATGAAAGGAGTTATAAAAAGAAAAATGCCGACTAAGCAAACATGAATCTTCATGCGTAATTTTGTAATATAGGTTATTTTCCCTATGTTACTAAATTAAGAGTACTGTTTTAGAGACGAAACAATCACACGTATGCTTTAAAAATAATATTTTTAATAAGTGTATTAAAATAACCCAGAGTGTTGCACAAAGCAATAAAAGAATATCATAATTAAAAATAAGACAGTACGCCAAAATGTATACTCTTCATAAAACCACAACAAACGTGTAAAGCTGCAACAAAAAGAGCTACAAATAAAAGGGACAGAGCTGTTTGGCCTAAGAAACAACGATCAAATAGGTTTGCAGGTGTTTTAGATTTTCCTTAGCAGAAACCATTTTGAATCGCTCTGCTTAATAGAATTTCATTATCCATTATTGAATTCCTTAGACGTTGCTGACTGAAGAGATAGCCCCATTGCTTCTTTTTATATATGTGTGTTTAGGAAATAACTTCAAATACAGACGTGATTAAATATGGACCAGTATCATCTGAGTGACGACAATTCGCTCCATTCTGAAATTCAGCTCCCGGAATTTTCTGGGAACCAGGCTTTGGACTGTAGTGACACATTCAGCCATGATCTCTGTCCAGATATGAGAGACATGATTTATGCTGGACTGAACAACCTGGATGTGGACCCCAGCCTTTCAACGACAAATATAAACAGCGATTCATTGGAAGACAACCTGGATACCTTGTCTTTGTACTCAGTAAAAGACTGCGATTCTGCTAAACTGCTCGATGATTGTGACACAGACTCACAGCCACTTTTGCACGGTGAGTAGGTCCAGTGCAGAGCTAAGGTGGCAATACGTATAAGGGGAATTGTTTTATTTCAGCCGTGGATTCAGGTCTTTGTCCTTATTAAACTGCATATTCTTTGATGGTGTCCTTTAGTTTGGATGTTCTCCCAGAATGGTTGGGATTTCAACTGTCAAGAATTCTCAGCCAATATAAAGAAACAGCTGTGCCAGGAGGTGGTTTGCTTTATGGTATTATTTGTATAGATAAGGCTAATGGTAAAAAAAAAAAAGAGAGAGGCAATTGTCCATTCTGTATCTATAGGTCATCCTTAACTTACAACAGTTCATTTTGTGACCGTTGCAAGTTACCTCGCTGAAAAAAAGTGACTCCTGGCCGTTTTTTTTCGCACAACCTTTGCAGCATCCCCCTGGTCACATGATCAAATTTCAGGGGCTTGGCAACTGGTTCCTGGGGGTTCACGGGATCCCCTTTTGCGCCTTTTTCACAAGCAAAGTCAGTGGGGAAGTGTCCTGCCCCTGATGGAGACTGACTCTGACGGAGAGGAGGAACAGCCGACAGGGAGTGGAAGTGTGGCTCTGGAGGTTGTGGAGGAGGCTGGGGAAGGGCAGAGGCCGGCTGGGCAGTCAGAGGAGGACCCAGGTCCATCCCCTCTCCATCCTAGGGCACGCAGGGAGGAAAGGATAAAGGAGAGATGTGGTCTATGGGGGAGGAGAGGGCCTTGATCCCCTTCATGGGCTGCAGCTGTGACAACTGCATAAGAGTACGGACATGCGTATGGGCGAGTGCTGGAAACAAAGTGTGTACAATTAAAAATTCTAGTATAAAATAACTAGCTCAATACCCGTGTTTCGCTACGAAACCATGTGATGGGGCTTAGTTTTGGGGGAGGAAAATAAGGGGGGCAGGGTGATTCTGCCTCTGCCTACCAGCATCCATTGGTATTCATCTGGCTATCGTCCTGTCAGTGTGTGAGAGCGTTGAGGGCTGTTTGGAAACTGAAGCAGTATTTGCTGTGGGAGCAAGGAGGAGACAGCAAGGAGCCTGGGCGTGGCCTAGCTCAACTGTTCTGCGCTAAAGGTGCTTGATGCTGTGAAACTGAACTGAAACTGAAAATCCTCTCCTCTGCTTGTGTTTTGCATTTGGAACAGATTTCTTTCTAGGTGGGGCGGGGGAGTAGAACTCCTTAACATCAGAGCGTGTTAATAATCATAATATAGGAAATATTAATATGGTCATTTTGAAAAATCCTTTCGTAGTGAGCCCCTAGAAGCCAAGGGGAACCTACATGCCAACTTTCAAGTTTGTAGGCTTTACAGTTCTGGATATTTTGTGATGATGCGTGAGGGGTATTTCGCTTTTATCTATATAGATAAAAAATAAATAACAACTAAAACCTATGATAAAAGTCTGAACAGTTCACTAAGCAAACTGTCGTAAACTGAAAACTACCTGTACTGTGTGCCTTGCAGCAGAGTCTCTGCCGTTGGAACTAAAAGTTGGCCTTCCTCATTTAGAATTGGGGCTTCCTGCCCCTTCGGCACCAAAAGAAGTGGAGCCAGGAGGCAGATCCGGTTCCGGCAGCGGGAGGAAAGGGAGACCCCAGCAAAACGCCCTCCAGGCCCCCTTCTTGGATTGCAGCCTCTGCGGGAAGGTGTTCAGCAGCACCAGTTCCCTGAGCAAGCACTACGTAACTCACAGCCAGGAACGGAAGCACATCTGTAAGATCTGCAGCAAAGCTTTCAAGCGACAGGACCACCTGTAGGTATCCCCTTGACGCAAAACGACTTAAGTGCTACATAAACAATAAGCTTATACCGTAGTTAGTGGTGGAATCCACTCAGTGCCAGGCAGTCAGATGTGCTGTCGGTTTTTTTTCTGTCCTGAAAAAAAGGCAAAGCTGCCAGTTTAGCTCTGCTTAATGGAGCTACGGTGGTGCAGTGGTTAAGAGTGCTGCAGGCTATTGGCTGCCTGAAATTTGGCAGTTCAAATCCCACCAGGCTCAGGGTTGGACTCAGCCTTCCATCCTTCTGAGGTGGGTCAAATGAGGACCCAGATTGTTGGGGGCCAGAGGATGACTCTAAAACCACTTAGAGAGGGCTGTAAAAGCACTGTAAAGTGGTATATAAGTCTAAGTGCTATTGCTACTGGAACTTTATAGCATGCCAAGTTTTCATGTATTGTACAGCACTAGTTTAGCCTGGATTCTAGGGATGAAATGGCAGCTGAAGAAAAGAAGAAAGGATTTCTAATGCCTGAAAAAAGATTAGTCCCCTAACTCTCAGGGGTGGGCGATTAATTTTCCCAGAGAAACTGAGACTTGTGGAGGGATGAATCAAGAAGGCTGGGAAAGTGTGCAAGCATATGCCCCCTTTCTCATATATACATTGAGAAAAAAAAATAACAGGCCCCTTCAAAATAAAAGCAATCCATGCAGACTGGATAGGGTTAACCCAATGGGTCAGATATGGCCCAGGAACCATAAAACGCCCAGGTCTCCTCCAATTGTTTGGAAGCAGTTGAGTGATGGTTTGGGGCAACAGGGAACAAGCCATAAATAAGCTTAATTGCTAGCAAATTGTTAATACGACTTTCCTTTAGAACAGGGATGGGGAACGATGGGCCCTTTTATGACTTGTGGACTTCGACTCCCAGAATGCATGGCTGGCTCAGGAATTCTGGGAGTTGGAAGTCCACAAGTCATAAAAGGGCCCCTCGTTCCCCACCTCTACTTTACAGCATACCCACCCTACCCTCTTTCTACGGGTCTCCCGTTGTGGAGGGAAAGTCACGAAGTGCGAATTTTTTTTGCATAGAAACCGGAGTCAAATGATCATTGATAAATTTGTGCTTGGCAGTATCATTTCGGTCCGAAGGCAAAGACTAACAGGAGGGAATGTAACTTGAAACAGAAAAGCCCTTGTGGATTTGGGGGGGGGAAAAGCTCATTGTGTTAGGAGGCCATGGTAGATTCTTTCCTTTTGATTTGATTTTTTAAAAAAATACCAGGGCGAGTGTTCAGGCCTATAAATCAGAAGTATTGGAAAGGGACTCTTATTCAGCCTTGCCTTCCTTATCGCTCTGCAATCTCTGCCCACTTCTGCGGTCAAAGCAACTGAAGAAGCAGTGACCCCAGAAGTCCTTTAGGGCAGGGATCCCCAACCTTTTTGACGCCGCGGCCCGGTACCGGCATCAGCTGGGCGCCGCCATCTTTTTTTGACGAAAAAGTGCTTCCGGTGACCTGACCGGAAGCACTTTTTCGTCAAAAAAGATGGCGGCGCCAGCGCTTCCGGTGAGCTTTT